TNTCAGTCCCAATACTTCAGATACAAGGCGGTCAACGGTGTTCACTACTAAGTTCGAATCGTATCACCTCAGCCTGGCAGGTCAGGAGATTTTTAATCACTATATTCTTTGTTCGACTGCTCTCTACGTTCTGGTCGACTGGTTCCCTGGTCATTTTCAAATTCTAAATTTTATGTTCTATTGTTTTAATGTTTTCAGAAATTTCTGCCTTCATAATTGTCACTTCTTCTGTCATACGATTCTTGACACTTTCCTCGATTTTAGCATTAATAGATTGTGAAATTCTACCTACTATTTTCTTTTCCAGATTATCTTCTAAATCATCTATCCTCATGTTTAATTTCTTAAAGGAATCCTGCATACTATTAGCAAACTTCATAAATTGTGCGTTGAATCCTTCAGATGATTCTCCGTCCCTTTCAAAACAGCTCTTACTTTTCTTTCGCTCCCTGAATGCTCCAGACGTGTCCTCAACATCACTATCATCGGAGTAAAATCTTTTCCTATCCGTATTCTAATCACTTTCGGCGGTGTGTGAGTTAGCCATTACTTCTCTGACATATTCATTGGCGATTTCGGCACACAGTGGTTCGTTATCCATTATGCTGTACACAATATCAAAATCCAGACACTTTAAAAGTTAAAAAGTTAAAAGAAGCTCAACTTAAACTAAAAGATTTGTATCACGGTTGATTGAGTTCCGGAGCTCACTAAGACACGTCCGCTCTCTACAGTCATTAGTCATGAAAATCCATGACTAATATATATATGCGATACAGGAAAAAGCATAATGCTTATTCGATGCCTCGCTGAGTGAAATTATGGTGATAGTGATAAGAGAAAGAGATATAGACAAAGATAAGTCTAATAGACACGAGCAATCTAAGAAAAGAGTAAAATAATCAAGTTATCAAAGAGACGCATCGTATGCCCTTTTTGTGGTACAAACAACCGGTATTGGTAAATAATAAACCAGTATCAAGTTAGTATTCTTAAGTATCAAACTTGTGGTGGTATGTATCAAGCTAGTATTTGTATGGTGTCAGACTAGAAGTAGTAAGTATCAAATTAGTATTAATAAGTATCAAGCTAGTAGTTGTATGGTGTCAGACTAGTAGTGATAAGTATCAAACTAATAGACTAAAGTAGTGGGATATGAAGCTGGTACTAAGAGTGGTAATTTACAAATTACTTTAGTGATGTGTACGAGACCTATGAAAATATCATGAATTCGGGTACCACTTTAAATAAAGTTTCATTTCAGGTGTGCCGGGGGCCTTGGTCATCAGAAAAGAGGATACGAATTTGTTTTGTTGAATTGTCAAGGTTTCCAATTGTAATTTTTCTGACGTTGTGGTATATTTTTCAGTATAGTAAGAAATGTTCAACACTTTCAAGTAAATGACCGCATAAACACCTGGTGTCATTAGATATGATCATTGCAAACTTATGCGCATTGAGATCACTTTTGAGTGCCTAAGACGGCAGTATATTATCTCTGAGAGTTTCTTCCCAAAATAAAAATAAAGTGGTACCTTACAGTCGTTTTCAGTCAGATTTTGCTTTAGTACAGAGATTGTGGGGGTCAATTAGATCTTGTTTGCTTAGGTCAACTGCTGACGGTAGGAAAATCCGTCCGTTCGTCCACTATTGCCCGTAAACACTCTACCGGACACAATTCTTGACGGATTTTGACAAACTTGGTATTATAACAGTTTCTGTCGTATTTATTTGTTTTACCGCTAAGCTTTTATATTTCACAAAAGGGGGGAGAGATGTTCTCTAATGTTTCTGCAATGAAACTTGTTAAATTGGTTTTTTTTTTTTGTTTTTTTTTTGTTTTGTTTTAACACTCAGAGTCCGTTCAGGGCATCTACAGCACTCTACTAGGCAATAACACAAGCTTGGATCCCAATATTTTTGCCAATGACTAACATTATTTACATATAATTCAAAACTTACTTTAAAAACATATAGACAGATAGTGTTAGTATTGTTAGTCAGAAGGGGTGCAGTGATTAAAGCCTAACACTATATACATGACAATAACAAGGTTCTTATGACTGATTTATCCAAGATTATGCCTCATCACAGTGTACTTTTCTTTTGCTTTTATTAACAACATATATACAAGCATTTACATGAAAAATATCCAGCAACACAGAGAAAAAGAGAAATATATATATATATATACATAAATTAAATTAGAGGAGAAGGAAGGAAAATTGAAAGCAAATGAAAAAAAAAATAAAAAAATTGTACGCATTATATTCGGAAATATACATTTAAAGTTGAATTTTTGAATTTTGAAATTTTTTGTGTTGATTTTTAAATTTTTGAATTTTGTTTTAGGATTTGCCAATATAAAATTATTCTAGAGTTTTTTTGCCAAATATTAAGAAATTAGAGCCAAGAATAAAATATTAATATGACAAAACAAGTTTTCAGAGTTAAATTTAGTTACAAAAACAGAATAGGAAAAGTGAAAGATAGAGATATAAGAAAATGTACAATACAATTAAGAATATAAAAAACTACTATTTGTAGGTAATAATATACATATAAACATAAATACAGAATAAAAACAGAACAATCTACTATCTGTAGACATAACAAGCACACATCAAAAGGGAAACTAGGTAGGAAAAAAAAAAAAAAAAAAAGAAATAATGGTAATTATCTACTACCTGTAGACAAGAGAAACACATGCCGAATTATTTTAAAATCTTACCTATAATTTATGCTGAAAAAAGAAAAGTGGTGCTGTGCTGAAAGAAGAAGGATGAAAAGTTATTGACGTTTAAAATTTTTATAAAATCGGTAAATTAGTTCATTGTTTAGAATTGCAGTGTTTAAATTCCTATTTTGCCAGACAGTGGAAAGTGAAAGTATAGATAAAAGGAAAGAATTTTGGGTCAGTGTTAAGAAATAAAGAAGTTTCAGAGATAGAGAATGTGGAGGTACAGAGAAAGTTATTTATAAAAGTATTTACAAAGTGGCGGAATGGTTCAATGGCTGTACAATTTAAAAACATATGCTGTAATGTTTCTACCCCATATTTACAGTAATTACAAGTTGTAATAAGGTGCCTTAAACGTGCTGATAAAACTTTCTTTGTGGGGTGCGCATCATGCAGAGAGAGAAATAGGAAATCTTTTTCTTTACTAGAGTGTATTGTTGATAAATTTTTCCAAGTTTGTTTGAAATCTATGAAGGGGTGCATAGTAACAGTTTTTAAATTAACAGTGCGTGTGGCAAGAAGTGCTTGATATATCTGTTTGCATTTTTTCATATTTCTAAGGTTAAAGTTGTGATCTTTTGGAATTTTGAGTAGTATTTTGAATTTTGAAGGGTAGTATTAAGTATGTGAATGTGCCAAATTGAAATCAATAGTATTTTTAAGAGGAATTCCGAGCCAATAATTAAAGAGTGACACCCACGGATTTTGATTGCCAATTATGACTTGGGATATCTGTTGAAATTGCATTGCCATAACTTTTAGGTCTATATTAGAGATCCCAAGTGAAGGGTGTCACGTTTGATGAGTTCAAAGTTGTTATTCCATAGAAATTTGAAAATCGCAGAGTTTATTTGTTTCAGTGCGGACTTGGATGGTGGGACAATTCTTGAAACGTACACGAACAGACTAATGATATAAGTATTAATGACAATTAATTTTTCCCTGAAACTGAGTTGTCTGTCTGTCCACCTTAAAGTCATACTTAAAGTCTTAGCCGCTATTATATCCCAGTTTTTTCCAGTCTGACCCTTACCAAACCAAATACCTAACAATTTTATGACGTCGCAGATCGAATGTTGATTTTGAACGGGTATAAAGTTCCTGGAATTGTTCATACACAATATTTCGGTTTTCTCTACATTTAATTTGGACCCTGATACCTTACTAAATCTATCAAATTCCTGTAATATTAAGCCAAATGATTGTTTCGAAGTGGTAATAGAAGATAAATCATCCACGTGTTGAAATATTTTAATTTCTCAACTGAAATTAGGGACCCTAATACCTTTAATACCATCATTGTTCTGAATATAAACTGCCAACGGATGAATTGCAATGGAGAATAGTGCCATGCTGAGAGGGCAACCCTGTCGGACACCTCTGGCTATGACGATATCACCAGTGAAGGCACCTGAAACCTCAACCTTACAATTGATATCTTTGTAGAGTATGCTTACCCATCTGATGAAATAGTGTGGAAAATTTAGATATTCTAATAAAATGATAATGTAGTTAATCTCGATTCTGTCAAATGCTTTTTCTTGGTGAAAAGTAGAAAGATTAGAAGGAATGTTTTTCTGATTGATATAAAGAAGAAGATAGTCAATGGATAGTAGATAATTGATAATAGTCTTGTCCTCCCCAGTCTGAATGTCATACACAATAGAATTAATCACCCTCTTAAGTCGCTTAGCCAGTATCTTAGTAATAATCTTATAGTCAGAGCAGAGAAGAGAAATAGGTCGATAGTTTTTGAGTAGTCTTGTCTGTCCTTTCCCCTTATACGCCAAAGTAATAACCCCCTCCCTCATAGTTTTAGATAATTCCCCTTGAAAATAAATATTATTGTAAAGTTCACACATATCATCCCCTAAAATATCCCAATTTTCTTCATAAAAAGCCTTATTCAACCCCCGGAGTTTTACCATTCTTGAAGTCCTTTATTGCCGCCAAAATTTCATCTTTCGAGAAAAAGGGTCGCTGATGAGGGATAGATCAGTGTCAGTGAGTGATGTAAGTGGACAGTTTGAAAGATAATTGTGAATGTCGTGTTCCTTTACATGCTGTGAAGTGTAGAGTGTTCTGTAAAAGTCATGAATTATGTTAAGAATATCTTCTCGGTTTGTACAAATATTCCCCCTTAAATTTTCAAGTTTATCTATACATTTTTTTTTTCCATTTTTTATTTCTATATCTTTATACATATGTACATTTTCAACATTATTATTTACATGATCCGCTTTAGCCCTTATATACACCCCCTTAACCCTTTGGTGCTCAAGTGTAGTTATATAGTGCTTAACTATATTTATAAGTGATAAATTATAGTTGGTGTCATTTTCCAGTTGTTCTAGAGTGTTATATTTATGAAATAAATCCTTTTTTCTCTCTTTACTTAATATAGCCGAATAATCTTTACACATATTGCTCAAACGCTTTTTGCCCTCCTCCCACCAATTAAGATAATTTTGAAACTGTAACTTTTGATCTTGCCATCCCCGCCAAAAGAGTGAAATAGTATTTTTTAAGTTGGTATTGTATAGAATAGATTCATTTAATTTGAAATAGCCCCTCCCCCATCTAAATTTCTTAATGTCTGTCTCCAGAATAACTGATTTTGTGATGTGCTCTATCAACAGGAATGTGTGAGATATTTATACAGTGTTGTGCTAGTGATTTGTTGGTGTAGAAGCGATCAAGTCGACTTCCATCACCCTGTGAGTTAATATAAGTGTATATACATTTTGTGGGGTGTTTTTCTCTAAAAATATATACAAGTGCCAATTTAACTTTAAAAGAGTGAAAAAGACTTCTTGTGGCTGCTGGTGTTTTATAAACGTTTTTATTTTTTGAATCTAAAATATTATATATACAGTTAAAATCCCCAGTTAAAATTAAAAGTTGATCAGGTTTTACTGTAAAAGAAATATAGGAAAGGAGTTCTGTATAGAAGAGAGTTTTTTGGTGAAGATAGACTTGTGCATAGATGTTAAAGATGTGTGTCAGAGAATTATTGATAAGAGTAGAGGTATGCAACAGACGGCCAGAGAAAAAGGGTGGGGTGGGGATATTGGTGAAAGAGAGATAGTTGTTAAAGATTGTGCATACGCCATTATTATTGTTGTTGCCATTATTTACAGTGAATTTAAAGTTGGTATCTTTTTCTAATTGCGTTATTTGCATTTTTAATGAAATTGGTCTCTTGGAGGCAAATTGTGCTACAATATTTAAATTTTAAAAGAATTTGATCGATTTTGGTTTTAAAACTTCTTTTTACATTAAGGGTGCAGATGTGCATTATATTAATATATTAGTATATTTAAGGAGATATGTACAGTTAAAATTTAAGATTAAATATTTTCCAGATTTAAAAATATATCACAGTTCATGTATCACAGAGACTTTAAATATTGCACTTAGTTATTATCCCCATAAACTCCCTTACGGGCTTTTGTAAGTAGGCTTGCGATAAAACTTTTATCCTTTCTTTTTTTGGGGTTTTCTATGGGCTCGGTGGTTTGCCTATATTGGGAAGCCTCAACTCCCTGGCCGCACATAGCATGCTGGGGTTGAGCCTTAGCTGATAGGGTAGGACTTATGCTGGAGATATCTTGAATCTTTTCAAGACCTGATGGCGGTCTTTAATTTGCGATGTCATCGTGAGGCGTTGAGGCATTCCGCCTCCTTTCTAGCATTTGATGGTTGAGTTCAAGATATAGACTGGAGTTTTGCTCTGATTCAGATATTGCTTCCGATGTATAGCTCGATGAATCACTATCATCAGTTGAGTCTTGATCTGACATTAAAGATAGATCTGACAAGTCCTGAGAGTTCAGCCTACTGCTTGCAAGGTCCATGCCTGGGTTTGGATTTTTTTCTGTATTTACAATTTCTATTTTATTTTCATTTTTTTTTACCATTTTCACTTATTTCATTTTTAGAAGTATTTACATTTTTAGATTTTTTAGATTGTTTTGTAACTTTTTTGGATTTTTTATTTTCTTGTGCAATATTTTTTTCTTGATTATTTACATTTTTTTCTGTATTTACAATGTTTTCAGTTTTATCATTTTTTTGTTCAATTTTATCATCATTTTGTTGCTTATTTACAAGGTTTATTTGTGACGACGGACGGGGGAGTCTCTCCACTGTCATTAGGACAGTTATTTGCATGGTGGCCATACTGCTGACAATTATAGCAGCGCTGGTTTGGGGTTTCTTGACCTTCATATTTCACGTTGAGTCTCCATCGTTGTACGTAAATTGTGGAGGGTATAGGCTTTTTAATTTTGCCCGTCTTCACATATCTGACTCCATTTGATATGTAACTCCCTATATCTTTAATATAACCCTTATTAATATTCGGGCTATCACAATAGATTTGCAGCTTTGATAATATATACTTATCCTCTAGTTCGTAGGGGGCACCAAAAACCGTGATGGTAATGAACTGGGGGATATGTGGGTCAGGGAACACATTCTCAACATAGTCGATTTTATAGTCTACCTCAAAATAGACAGTGTCTAGAAATTGGAATTCTAACATGAATTTTTCTGCATCCTCTTTGCACTCTAATGTAACTAGGATTCGGCCTTGACCTATATTTTGGAAGAAGAGCATCTGCCAAATATCCACTCCACGTTCAGAGATAGTTCGGAGGAATTCTGTCGTATTTGGCTTAACATCTCCCTCTGGCATGAGGATTAGGGTGTTTTCTCTATTAAGTTTTTCCATTTTGACTTAAATTGTCTTAGGATATAAAAAAAAAAAAAAGTTTCACCTCAGGGACATCAGAAAAACTGCTTCTCGGACTATACTTTATACCGGAAGTTGCTTTGTTTACATCTTTTTCCTTCTGTTATTCCTTGATTTTTACATAGTAAATCACATAAAATAATTATATACGATGTTTTGCCTATTCTATTACACTCTCTACTAAGTCTGATTTCTAATACACGCCTGCACAGCTCAATATCCCGATCATAGAATCGAAACTCCGGATTACATCTCACCGGATGATTACGTTGTCAATATAAACAAAATAATAAACAAAATATAAATACCAAGTATTCTGATGGAATATCATACTTAACTTGCTAGTTGTACCCATCACGAAAACTGTATCTGGAATATAGTACGACAACCCTCGGTTTTCTCTCACTCTAAAGTATGTTGATATCTAGAAAACTAGATTATGAATTGATTGGATATAGTTAAAAAGTGTTAAGAAACTTTGAGTGAAGAATATGGTTGGTTGGTAGATGACAAGTTAACGTTCGCTTCCAGCGGATGCTGATATCGCAAACTAGGTAGTTGTTGGTAGTCGTAGTAGTTGGTAGTTGGATTGGATCAAATTGGATGATTCGGTGTTGTTGGTTTGGTTGTTGATTCTTCGTTAGATCTGGTCGGGTCGAATGACATGGCGGTGAAACTCGGCCCTGGATGGTGTGGCGTGAGTTACTCGGTCTCCTTCATTCTTCCAAACTCGTTCTGATCATGGTATTTCTTGTTGATTGGTAGTCGAATGGTAGTCGTTGGTTTGGTTTGGTTTGGTTAGATTATCTGTTATCTGTTGGAAAACTCGAAGACCTGAAAAAAAAGAAAAAAAAGAAAGTGAGAAAAAGAGGGAGGAAAGAGGGGGGGGGGGGGGGGGGAA